GAGGATTTTTTGGAACAGTAGACCGAGATTTATTTGAGAGATTCAGCAGCTAGATGTGAGTTTCCTCACTGTGTTTATTAGGTCGAAGGCACCAACGCCGGCTCATGATTTGTTATGTCTAGGCCTTACCATCGAAGGCCTTACCATCGAAGGCCTTACCATTAGCCTCCAATGTCATCACTCACTCTCGATCTCTCATCATCTCTACCACCTCCCTTTGTTTGTGAATGTGAACTGAACATAACGATCTGTCATGGACAATCCAAAAATAAATCAAACTTTTCTCAACCACCTGTGTATCCTATGTGTAGGCCCCAAAAGAAATTGGAAATCGAAATACATGGGTTTAGGTGGTCTCTTCCCCTTCGAGTCAATAACATGGCTATTTCTTGCTATTGTGTGTGTCTCTCACCCCATTCTTCAATTGATGGTAAGGAAGTAAGAACACGGATATCTGGAACAAAAACAGTTATAGGTTTGGGAAAAATGATTTCAGATGGTTTCCAAGCAAGATTATCAACGAACAAAAACAAAAACAAGTGAAATATGCACTTGTATTAATCTTCGATGCAGGTTAACTATTTTGCCTCTTCCACGAACAAACGCCAAGTCGATGCAGGTTTTGATTTTCGATTTTAGTTGGTGACACTACACTTTTGTTCATCTTCCTTCCAACTCCCACAACAATCACATGTAGCTCAAACTCACACCCTCCAACTTGTAGAACCATGGAACTCGAAATGAATAAGAGATTCAAACCAATGAAATCGAAATGAAGAAGAAACTGAATAAACATCCTTGTTGGGCTGTTGTGCTGCTTCACTGACTTATATATCCATGGAAATCGAAATGAAGAAGAAATACTAACCAAAGATACTGAGTAGAAAGTGAAACTTGATTGGAAAGGTCTATGATTGAGAATAGGAAAGGTGGGTGTTCTTGAAGATGAACATAAGTTTGTGGTGGGTGAGGACGTGAGTGACATAATGAGGTGTATTTTTAATTTAATTTATCTTTTTAGTGAAAAAGTCAAAACATGAAGGAAACCGATAATTACAAGTCAAGGTCCCTTTTTGGTAGGTAAAAATTGACTTTATGCCTCTAAACTACAAAAAAATAATATTAGGGACCTTTTAAAATAAAACCCGATAGTTGGTTGGATTATAGTGACATTTACCCTTTTTAGAATAATATATTCCCCTATCTTTGTTTCTGTATCCTGGTCTCTCCTTTTTTATTGATTTTTCTTTCAAAGGAAACTGGTCATGTAACGAAAATGACAAAGATGTCTTGTTAACTAGACTTGTGTGTTCATTTTAACCGGTATTTCATTTGTTCTTGTGGATATTAGTGAAAACAACATAATATTTAATGTATATAGATTATAATAAATATGTAACAAAAAAAATAAAAGAATGCTTCACCTAATAATTTAAGTGTGCTAAATCATAATAAATGGAACATGTTTTTCTTGCCTTGCGTGTTTCTATCTAGCACAATGACATGCAGGAAGGCATGCTGAATGTGTTGCATACACACACAAAATATGATATACACGTCTTTCTTTCCTTGCGTGTTTTCTTTGAATTAGATCGATTGAGCGTTGCTCCCTTTCTTGACATGTCATTTGTAATTAATCTTTTAGTTTTTGTCTAGTTCTTTATTTGCTTTTGTTTCTAATATAATATTGTGATTCCAGAAAAAAGTATTATGTGCGATATATATTCTTATCTATAAAAGGTGGTATACTATAAACAATACATATTCATTTTCATATAAACTTACAGTTTAAAGTAAATTTATGTAATAATAATGTTAGTTACTAACTATTTATCTCATAATAATGTCAATTACAAAGTAAATTTATTTGGCTTTGAGCTTATTTGTGTATGATATTTAAAATTATTTATAACATCCCGACTCCCAGGTATAATATTTAATTCATTTATATTCATATTGTCAGAGCAACTCGACGAGTTGGAGGCCCAACTCGCTGAGTAGAGAGTTAACATGACCACATGATTTTTAGAGTCTACTCGACGAGTTGGATCGATGAGTAGGAGTTGAGTGTGAAAACCCTAATTTTCAGGATTTGTACCCTATTTAAAGGACCTTAAGCCTTTATTTCCGCCTGCTTTATCACCTTGACACACTGAGAGAAACCCTAATCGAACTGTATTCATACGAGAGAGAGAGAGAGAGGCTAAGATTGTATGTTCTAGTGCATTTTTAGAAGAAGATTGAGTAGAAAAATGCTTGGAATGAGAAGAAGCCCTTGGATACCGTGTTCTATCAGTGCTAGTTGTTATTTGGAGGTAAAAAGCTATCACCATGATCATTGTTTGGTTAGATATCTTCACTAGGAGTTTATGGCCATTTCCATCTTTTCTTTGGGTCCTTAAGTTGTTTTGAGCTTGCCATGGAGTTAAGACTTCATATCTGGACAGTATGAGGTTCCTTGGGCCTAAAGATTCAAGCTTTATCCAACTATTGGCCAACTTTCATGCATTAAATCCTCTATAGAGCTTGTTTTGGCATTTTGAGTCCTAAATGTCATGCACAGACGTAAAGCTTGCAACTTTATGTGATACTTCTGTCTTAGAAGGCTGGATCTAGAGTATGAGGCCTTAGTTTTGCTTAAAAACGTCTAAATGAGATAATGGACTGAATGGACTCGACGAGTTGATGAGCCAACTTGACGAGTTGGCTAGGGTTTTCCCCGATAGTCTGGACACGTTACAACTCGGCGAGTTGGTGAGACAACTCGACAAGTAGAGTTGGATTTTCCCTATACTTCAGAGAAAACAAAGGAACTCGACGAGTCGCATAGATGCACTTGATGAGCTGGGTCAACATGGATTGTTAACTCGAGTGTTAACTTCCGTGAACTTTTAAGGTTTGGTCAAGACATGGATTATGGAGACCATGGAGGGGTAAAATGGTCTTTCACCCTTTCCGAGAGTTAGAAAAGGGGTAGCCTGACATTTTAGAGTTGTTATTATAAAGTGTTAATTAGAGGTGATTATGATATGTAGGCGGAGTGTAGACCGATCGTTGAGTACGAGACCTACTTGCTTACTTACGAGGTAAGTCTTCTCACTATACTTACCCGAGTGGTAATATTGTGTGACCGGAGGGTCTTATTCGAGTTATTGACCGGAGGGTCTTATGTGCTTATACTGAGTTATGTGATATTATGCATTTTTTCTTTGTGATTTATGTTATATATTATTATGTGCCTTACTGAGTTAGGACCGTAGGGTCCAAACCGAGTTGTAAGACCGGAGGGTCTTCACTGAGATACAAGATTGAAAGGTCCAACCCGAGCTGTGAGACCGGAGGGTCTTCACTGAGACACATGACCAGAGGGTCCATACCGAACCGTAAGACCAGAGGGTCCTCACTGAGACGCATGACCGGAGGGTCAATACCGAGCTATAGCCATGAGAGGCTTATTATTTGTGTATGTGGTATTTTAGGGAACTCACTAAGCTTCGTGCTTACACTGTTATATGATATGTGTTTCAGGTGACTCTTATGATCGCGGGAAGGCGCCGACTTGATTGTATATACCAGTTAGAGATTATGTTTTTGAGGATTCTGGGATATTATCAAACATTTGTTGCCTTGTATTTTGACAACTTATATATTTTGTGGTTTTTGAGAAATATGATATTGTGTTTTATGTGACTTTAAAAATACAAAAAATTTATTTGAAAATTTAGAGTGTTACACTATTTGTGAATGTCATATACATTTAAAGTTAAATGACAAAGAAAACAATATAGGTACAAATCGTAAAAGTAAATTCATCTCATAATAATGTTGGTTACAAAGTAAATTTATTTTGATTAAACTTACTTGTGTACTATATTTAAAACTATATACTTTCAAAGTTAAATGATAAAAAGAAAATAATATAAGCATAAATGTTTACAAGGTTAAATGATCAGTAACTAAAATAATATAATGTGATATAATTATTAAGCACTTCAACAAGTGTTTAGACGATTTTACACAGACCAATAAGAACACAACCAATTTGTGTGATTCACATGATTAAAGTGATTGGCTACATCTACGAGTGAACACGGACATGCACGAGGATGAGATTTTATTGATTTCTGTAGAATGGCTTGTTACACTTTGGTTATACAAATTCAATGTATATGTTCTTACTAGGAAGTTGACGTAAAAATGGCAAATGTCTTGCTACGAAAACTCTTATGAAAAATGGCCCATGACGAATTGGAGGCGAAGCTGATATAGAAACTAGTTCACAAAAAATATCTTCCTAGGTCGTTGCCCCAGATCCCGACAAGGGGCAACTCCCCCTTGACCCCTACTCGCTCTTCCATGATTGGTCTGCTTAGTGGCTATAGGGTTAAAAGGTAAATTAGTCTTTATAACTTATAACAAATACATAAGGATTTAGAGTATAGTCACTCTCTATCCACACCAAAAAAATGTTGTCATTGTAGTGTCACATCGATCATCACCCCTAGACGTGTTGTTTACGTGGCCACACCACTGCCATTTCATCCTCCGTCGTTAAAATGGTACATAGAACTTAATAACCTGATATGATATTTGTGTTATATTATTAAATTCTAAAAGTAATACAAAAAGTGTAATGCCCTTGTCAAACAAATCAAACGATATCATTTTTTTTTTATTATGCACGTTTAAACTAGCACAATGACAGTTAAATGAGTCCATAGATAGCCCAATATGTGTGCATTGTATGCATATATTTATTTCATGTATTTATGTTTTGAAAAGATTTATGCATTAAAAATAACACACTTCTTTTGAATCCCTTTATCTATAATAAATTTATAATATGCCTATTTAACAAAAGTTACTCGTAGTTTTTATAACAACCAAACATGGTATTTATAACACAAATCAATGAGGATGCGTGGAAGGCTATTAAAAATTAAAATAAATCCCATCTCATATAAGATTGTAATAATTTATAAATACTCCTATTGTACTTCATGGGGGATATTATATTTAAAGTAGAACTTACAAAAGTGCGTATTCACGCGTTGCTTTGCGTTTGGTTTTTGTGTAATTTAAACGGCTGTTTTGAACATTTTGGAATTATCATCGGACTAAAAGGAAAATAATTTGTTTAATGAGGGTGTAAAATATAAATTTTTAAAAGAGTTAAAAATATCTGGTAATAAAAATTTTGCGTAGTCTCCAAAGAACAAATAAGGTGAGGAATAGGATTACTGTTTGAAAATAAGAATAAAGAATTAGAGAGAAAAAAACGCGGCTGGTGTATCCCAAACCAGATTCTCCTCCGGTTTTTTAGTCGTTTACCTTCCTCATTGATTGCGTCTGAAGAAAGATCGTAAAAACTTAGCACTCACCAAGCTCCAAGTTCAGCGATTTTAAACATTTGGTCAAGAGATCGGCTAATTAGCTGATAAAATCAATTTTCTCTGTGTGGGTGATTTATTTTTACTTCCGATCTTGATGTTTTTGGAGAAATCTTATGTGGGTTTTGATGGGTTTTCGATTATTTGATTAGGTAGATGAGATTTTAAGTTTTGTTGCAAGTTCTTGCTGTTCAAGATATAGAAAAGCAATTCATATTGCTTTTTTTTGGATGATTTCTGTTGGGAGTATAAATGAAAGGAAGGGGCTGAGTTTGAGGTATGGTTTTGAAGGTGGAAAGATGGAAATAACGACGACTGATATCGAAGAAGGGGAAGCTTGTTTTCAGAGTAATAATTATGATGATACTTCAACAATTGACCCTGATATCTCTCTCTCTTATATTGTAAGCAATTATCATTATCTCCCGACAACTGTTTTAGTTCTTTATTGTCTCTTTATAATTCAATTCACTTTTGATTATTTATTAAATACACATATCCTGGAATGGAAGTTTGGTTTCAGTAATTGACACAACATGTTATGATAAAAGCATTAATATTTCCCTTATTTTCTCAATTACTTCTTAAATTTGCCAACCTTTTAACGCCTCCAAAATGGTTATTACAACATTAAGCAGCAAAAACACGCGCAAACACTATTTGCTGCTTGTAAACACTTTCAAAATGCACATCCAAACACCCACTTGGTAAAGATTCGGGGCATTGCATTTTGCTAGCTACTATTTGACCCGTTTTATTCTTGCCTTATTTCCCCTTTAAATGAATATCACTGCAAGCTTGGCAAGCGTTATCTCTTAATTAACCTTTTATTCTCATCTCATTAATCGTTGTAATTCTGAAGGATGAGAAAATTCAAAATGTTTTGGGACATTGTCAGAAAGATTTTGAGGGTGGATTTACAGCTGAAAATTTGGGTAAGTTGCTGGATCATTGGCAAAAGTTAAAACCAATAGAAAATTTGGGGTTTTTATGTGAATTTGTGGTTATTTGCAGGGGCAAAGTTTGGGGGATATGGTTCGTTTTTGCCCACTTATCAGCGTTCTCCTGTTGGGCCTCATCCAAAGACACCTTTGAAACTTGGTGCATACAGTGCACCTGAATCTCCAAATCCAAATAATGTACATATAGAGGTGCTTCTTTTTGGAATTTTGTCAATTACATTCATATTTACTATTTAGTACAAAAATGTTGATTTCTGATTATTATTCATGATAGGCTTCCCAATCAAGTGCATCACAACCAGCAAGAAAAGGGTCATCTGCATCTGCTAATGGCAGATTGAAACAAGAAGTCTCCACATCTTGTGGTGACAAATCAACTTCTAAAGGCTACCAATCTGTTAACAACTTAACTAAAGATTCTGACCAAAAGTCTCTGAAGGTGAGGATCAAAGTTGGCTCTGAGAACTTGTCGACTAGAAAAAAAGCTGAAATTTACAGTGGACTTGGCCTTGATGTCTCTCCCTCATCTTCATTGGAATCCAGTCCTGTAGACAGTAATGGGTTCTTTCATGTGCCTCAAGATGACCATAATGAATCTCCCACTAGTATTCTTGAGGTTAGTAATAACTAATATTCACAGCTTTCTTTCTATTTTCTATTAATATTCAAAATGGCTTAAAATTGATGTTTTTTTTTTTCAATTCGAATTTGCAACAGATAATGACATCATTCCCGGTTTTGGGAAGTCTTGTATCTCCTCTTCCTTATGATGTTTTGCACTTGATTGAAAAAGAAAAGGTGAGCCAAGAAAGCAGTGTGACAGCTCTTCATGGGTCTGATTTGAGTAAAGTTGATCAAGATGTTGTTGGAGACTTGTTTGATATAGCAAAAGAGGAACCCATGGAGCCAGTATTTCCAACAGATGGTGGTTCAGGTGGAAAGATTTGGGAAGCTAACAACATGACTTGTGATGAAAAGAACCCGGTTTTCTCTATAAAAACGGATTCAGATGTGTCAATTGGCAGCAAGATTTTTGATAGTGGACCAATGAAGCCTCTAAAGCAGAGGGATGATCAGAAAGCTATGAAATTGGCTCCAGATAAAACATCATCTTCAGGGGGGAAAAGGAAATCAAAAGGTCTAGCTAATGGTTCACAAGGCGGTTTAAAGAATGAATCTTTTACATCTAAAAGTAAGAATAATGAAGATCATAAGAAAAATAGCGAGAAGGTCAAGGACACCTACAAAGATATCTTTGGAGAACCTGATTTAGAACACGAAGATGATGATGAAACGGGTTTGGAGAAACCTTATGGAGGCAATAATGGAAAAGTCAAACTGGAAAATGATAGTTTATCCGGAGAGAGAGAAAGATTAATCGGAAAAAAAAGTGAAAAACCATCTTCACATGTGACTACAATGGGCAATGGGCTAGTTTCTGATGCAGCTGTCCCTATGATAGCCCCTTTAGTGAATGAAGATTGGGTTTGTTGTGACAAATGTGAGAAATGGAGACTTCTTCCACCTGGTGTAAATCCCAGCAGCCTTCCTGAGAAGTGGCTCTGTAGCATGCTTGATTGGCTGTAAGTAGTTCTTTTCAAAGATACATTCTTCGAAAATTGTACCTATAAAGGAACTCACTTTCTTGCCATTTTTTTTTGAATATTTTTTGACATGTTTGTAGGCCTGGAATGAATCGGTGTAGCATCAGTGAGGAAGAAACAACAAAGGCTATGACCTCTCGTGTTCTTGGTCCTTCTGTTCAAGGTGTTCAACCTGTTCATCCTGGTGGACCTCAATTAGGAGTGACCTCACATGATCCTGATGGGACCCACCAGCATTTCGGTCCACAAATTCCACATGCTGGTTTCAAGAAAAAACATGGATCAAAAGATCTACCAAATGAAGCCAAGCTGGATAGGCCCTCCATGTCTTCTAACTCTTCAAAAAAGAACCTTCATGCCTCATATAGAAATGCCACAAACCCTTCACCTGTTAATGGAATAGATTTTCAAGATTCTGGTCATTCAAGGGATGTGAATGTGGTTGGACAAAAGAAAAAACTGGATGAAGGTATCTTAATCTTTTTTTTTTTTTTTTTTTTTTTTTTTAATTTTATAAATAGCTAATGTTGGGCTAAATGCAAGAAACACCAATGTACTTTCATTTACTTAGCTGACCCATTTAAGATAAAATATTACTAAGATCAACCTATTTTGAGGTAAATGGTTGGAATTGCTGCCTTTTTCCGAAAGTGTATAATGGATTTCATTTATATCACACTTCCTCAGGTAACAATAACCATCACTCCAAGATCAGCAACAAAAGAAAGAGTACTCAGGATTTCCCCAAAGATTGCAAGAAAGTCAAGACCAATGTTGAGGATGGAACATTCCACATGGGAAATTTTGATAAAAGAGATGTTGCAAAGAAAAGAAAAAGAGAAAATGAACTCGATGGTGCCCCGAAATATGTGAAAGAAACAAGTGAAACCAACCACAAGAGGGAAAAGAAAGCAAAGATATTAAACCCTGAAGATGAAGGAGTCCCTGCAAAAAAAGGTAAAAACAATGAAGATGTGAAAATGAGGAGCTTGAAGGTGATAGATTCTTCAAGAAAAGATACCGTTATGGCTGCCACTTCAAGCTCTTCGAAAGTTTCTGGTTCACATAAAACTAAAACCAATAATAACCAAGAAGCAAAAGTGTCGCCGGTGGGGTCCGTTTCTTCTTCTCCTCTTCGGATCTTGAATAATAATAATATTAAGAAGAAGAATAAAGGCGTTGAGCCTTTGAAGAAGAATGTTTATGAAGAAAAATCAAAAGAAGGAAGAAACAAATCACAAGGTAAGTTTACAAATGAGAATGGTAAAACACATGGGCAATCAAAGCATAGGTCGGATGTTAGAATGGATCAAGATTCAAAGAAAACTTCAAGGAAAGATGTAACCAGAAAAGCAAAGTCAAAGTCTTTGCCACCAAGGGGTCAAAATGAAAAAGAAGGTTTTTCACAACCTCTTGATGACTCTCGAAAAGAAAATGTGGCATTAAAGCATCATAAGAAAGATCAGAACAATAATGGAAATCAGCCTATGAATGTTAAACATCCCAGTCCCACACCCAACATGCATAAGGATAAGGGAAAGGACCATGATGCCCCTGTTCTTCTTATGGTTAAAGATATATCCAATCAGGCTACAACAAGTGCTCTAAGAGAGGCCACAAATCTTAAACACACAGCTGATCGCGTGAAGGTTCTTTTTATTTTTTGTCTTTATTTTTTCTGATTTACCAGCCTTTTCTGGTGGATGAAAATGGGTCGGACGTTAGTTGTGAATTTTGAAATTTATAATTATTAAAGCTGTGTGATTGTTTGTGAAGATGATTGGGTAAATTAAATTATATTTGCAGAATGGTGGATCAAGCCTTGAGAGCAGAGGGCTTTATATGCAAGCAACACTTAAGTTTCTTCATGTAGCTTCTGTGTTTGAATCCTGCCATAAAGAGACAGGGAGATATGGTGATATGATACAATCAGTGTCCATATACGGTAGCACTGCAAAACTCTGCGAGTAAGTATAATGCAATGCAAAATTGGAAATAGAAATTTAGATGGCCATATTTGTAATTTTTGTTTGTGAACTGGTGGTGGTTATCAGGTATTGTGCTCATGAATATGAGAGAACCAAGGAGATGGGCACTGCAGCTTTAGCCTACAAATGCATGGAGGTGGCATACATGAAAGTCATCTATTCTTCACATGCAACTGCTACCAAAGATGTGAATGAGCTGCAATCATCTCTTCAGACAGGTGGGTCTTATATTTTGCATTGAAGGGGATGATAACATGATAACATGATATTCCTGTTTGAATGATTTTTGATAGGCGGGTCTCCTTCTTCTGCCTCTGCATCTGCTTCTGCTTCTGATGTTGATAACCTGAACAACCCCGCAGCAGCCGTAGCTATTGACAAGGGTGTTAATAGTAATAGTAATAGTAATAGTAATAATACTGGAAATCATGTAATAATTGCAGCCCGACAGAAACCCAACTTTACACGGATTCTTAGCTTTGTAAGTGTTGACTCAGTCTGAAATGCCAAAAACGGACAGACTCTTTGTTTGGTTTGCTGAGGATTCTGTTATGCAGGCACAGAATGTGAACTATGCAATGGAAGCCTTGAGGAAATCACGGATTGCTTTTGCGGCCTCCACTTCAAAAGAGGAGGCCATTAAAACAGCTCTTGACTTCAACTTTCATGATGTCGAGGGATTGCTGCATCGGGTGCGGGTGGCAATGGAAGTAATTAATAGATGATTGGTGCCTGCTTATATATATTATTTTTTTCAAAAAAGAAAAGAAAAGAAAATCTTTGGAATTGCTTCCATGGCACGGGCTCCACCAACTAACATTTTCCAGAGTAAGGACTAAGGAAGGAGGGTAAGGTGTTGATGTGATGAGAGACCTTCCTCACGAAGGGCAAGGGCAACGTGTTAAGAGAAAACAAGATTCAGGTAAACCATACGCCTTTTTTCATCTCTAATTATAAAATTATATTACCTGATTGAAAACCGATAAATGGTGTGACTGTGAGTGGACACATCTTTTAGTCGATGGATTCTATTATTACTTAATCTCGACTTTTAAACTAGTATATAATTCCTACATTTTTATAATTGACTAGGTAGTTACAAAATGTTTCTTTTCTATGAAATAGTTAAGTCTGTGTTTCATTTATTTGATAAAAAAAAAATGATTTTGAAAACATGAATTTATATTTGTTAAGATGAATTGTCTATTTGTTAAAATGTGACTTCCGTTTTTTTTTTCCTTTCTAAAATTATTCAATTAGTTTTGTGAGATAATTTAAACATTTCATCAGTAATATATATATATATCTCTATATATATATATATATATATATATATATATATATATATATATATATATATATATATGTATATTTTGCTTGTGAAGCTGATTATATGTACAGAATGGTGAATTTAGCTTCATTTTGGTTTCAGATGCAGATGCAGTTGATACTTCTGAATATAACAGAGGAGTTGGGTTAAATTTCGCTCTCAAACAAAAAGTAAACGGTGTAGTTATTGCTTAATGTTTCGGTGAGGATGGTGAAAAAGGTAATTTTGCATTATTTTGCTGTTATTGAAGGGTATTTTAGACGTACCACAAATAATCAAACCACTTTCCTGAGAGTATATATACACACACACACACACATTGGACTATGAAATGATATGACATTTCTGGTTTATGACCTAGGTTATACCAAAATGCTCATGTCTTATTAACCAAAAGACAAAATTGCAAAAGTGGTCCCTGTGGTTGGCAAATTTATGTGCTTTTAGTCCAAAACGAAATGTTGGTGCACCACTGGTCCAATTTTAGATATATTGTGTGGTTTTGGTCCCTATGGTTGTATTTTCTTGTGTTTTTGGTCCACATCCCACCTAAAATGACTAATATGCCCTTTAAATAATTATATTTTAATTTCTTTTATTTCTTTTCTTATTCTTATAATAAAATGAAAAACAAAAATAAAATAAACCCACCACACACACACACACTCTCTCTCTCTCTCTCTCCCTCTCTCTCTCTCTCTCTCTCTCTCTCTCTCTCATTCTCCAGATCAAAACGAAAACCAACTCGTTCTTGAAGGCGTTCTCTACCGAATCAATATTGCAGGCTTCATCGTCCCATGCTTCTCCTTCGCACCACCAATAACCACCCTTCACATCTGTTTCTTCGACAACCATTGTGCCACCGTTACATCTGAACACCTGTAACAAAAACCCCAAATCTCCACAGTTTTTTATTCTAAATAAGAAGGAGACGAACATGAAGGGTCGGGGTTTGGAAATTATCTCAAAATCTGAAGACAAAGAAGGTGATCGGAGAGGTTGGATTTTTTCTTGCCTTATATCGCCTTGGTTCACCCCACGTCTCTTGTTTTTCACAATTGATCGACACCTACCTCTCGTTTCTTTTTCTTTGTTCTAAATAGAGATGTCATGTCAATTTATGGTGGTGATTGGTGGCTAATTTGGGAGGTGATTGGTGGTTATTGTCGTGTGATCAAGAAAAGGGTGGAGTGTTTATGGTGGTGATTGTTGGCTAATTTGGGAGGCTGATGGATGCGCTACCACCATCGACCTCATATGTTCCTTTCAATCCACCTTCTGCCACATTGACTATTCGACAACAAAATCAACATCAAGCCACATTCAACACTCACCTTCTTCTTTAAAACCATCGATTTTCCGATTTTTCGGGTCTTTGTGGATGGTGAGAAGTTAGAGGAGCTCGACCAAGCTTTTGGTTTGATTTTTCCAGCAAGATCTGGGATGGAAAGGCATATAGTAGGGTTTTCTAGAAAAAATCTAATGACCGATGGTTTGGTGGTTGGTGGTGAAAGCTTATCAGGTTAAGGAAGGAGATGTGGGGGTGGGGGAGATGGAGGTGGTTGGCGGCGAATGGTGTTGGGGAATGGAGATAGTGGCAGGAGGAGAGATAAAGAAAGATTTTGGGTGTGTTCTTAAGCGGATGGTGGAGAGCAACGACGGTGGTGGTAAATGGAGATGATGGCAGACAGATGGTGGTGGTGAACGTCGTTGGTAGCAAATGGATCTTGGTGGTGAAGGATGGTGGGATATGTTGGGAGTTCTTGAGAGGGTGGCATTTGGTGGGTACTCTTTTGAGAGAGAGAGAGAGAGAGAGAGAGAGAGAGAGAGAGATTAAAAAAATAGAAATCTAAAGGGTATAATAGTCATTTTAAGTGTATAGAGACCAAAAACACTAAAAAGATCCAAAATTGGACCATTGATGCACCACCAAACTTTTTTGGACAAAAACTACAGAATTTTGCCAACCACAGGACCATTTTTGCAATTTTGTCTAACCAAAAAATGTGTCATTGATTTGTTGTGCTCATAATTCGTTTTCTTTTTTGTGTTTTCTTCTGCAGATAAATGGGGTGGAAAATTTTCACAAGAAGGTCGAAACCATAGGTAGGATCATTAGTAGTTATACCTATGTTTATATGATTAAGTCAGATATGTATGTATGTCTTGTGTGCATTTTAAATATTCAATGCACAAACATTTTATGCAAGATATAGAGGGTTAATGGCTCATTTGTTAACAAAACACCTGTTAGTTTGAGGCCTAAAATTTCAACCAAATTGGTTGGTTAGGTGAGTTAGTTAAATAGTGAAACGTTCGCAGGGATTGTTTGGAAATAGTATTCTCACCACTTTAAAGTGAAAATAGTAGAAATTGCAAGGTTGTTCTAACTTTGCATTTTGTTACATGGACAATATGTGTGTCGTTGTGTGCAAGTATAACATCCCCATTTTCTACAAACAACAGACCCACTTTTTTTTTTTTTTTCTAAAAATTTTACCAAAATTTCGGCATTACCTCTAAATAACTACAACATATCTGTTGGAAAACCTACTACTATTCCCAACAATTCCAAATAAGACAAAAACGTGTGTGTATATATATATATATATATATATATATATATATATATATATATATATATATATATATATATATATATATATATATATATATATATATATACACCAACTACATAATATAACTCACTAGCCTTTTCCAAAAATCTTCTTATTACCCACGGTTGCACACATCTGCTAACCATAACTGAACTTGTAATATATGCCATCAACCACAACAGGTAAGCTCAAAGTTTAACGAGTAATGATGTAATAAAACATAATATAACACCACAATTAATTAAGTGCATAATGTAACTTATATTTACCACAATATAAGGATACACACAATCAATAAGGTATTTTCACCCTCAAAGTTAACAGATTTAAACAAATTGAAGCCATGGATGGGTATGAACATAAAAACTTCTTCTCGCTAGATCCTTACATCGGAAGCCTTTTGATTCAACACCAAATTACCCCGGTTCTAATTTTACTTCTCGAAACCTGTTACTGTATCCACAAAAGTGGTAGAAAAAAGGGGGAGATAAGCTATGCATAACGTGTGTTTGAAAAAATGCTTGAGATGGTAATCTAATCCCATTTATCAAGCATATATCACCACAATTAGTTTGCGTATTGAGATCCTGCAGTTTTCACGTGTCTATTCCAAAAACCCATCACCAAGAACGAATCACGTTTTTATTTATCAAGTATTTGGGTAGGATTGCTTGCATTTTACTATTGGCTCAACAAGAGAGATGTAGCGCCACCATCGTCATCTTGTTACCCGTGTGTGCAACCATTGATGTCATTCCATCTATTGCCATCCACATCATTGCTGATGTGGCAAAAAGAGCTGATGTGTCCACTGAAACCTGCTAAAATAGGCCCCGGTGACTAAAAAGACACCTATGCCCCTATAAAGAAACAAAATAATTTTAGGGACTGAATCGACCAACCTTGTAGGGCATTTGTCATTTCCCCTATGACCACCTTTACCTAAGTCCTAACTATAAACCGACAAGACAACCCTAATCCAACCATATCAGTATAAAAGCTAACAAACATATGTTAGAAATTGGGGTATAGTAAGGCTTGGAATTATGAGAATTGTGTAAAACACTTTCAGATTAAAGCATTTAGATGGTACTCCCAATATTCTTTAATCGGATAAGACTCAGAGAGACAAGAATTTAGAATGTTTTGATGATAGTTTCGTATGTACCAAAAAATGAGACCAAACCCGATTTTATGATATTTGTTTGAAAACTATCATATAACAGTTTCAAACTGTCATAAAACTATAAAAACTGACATAAAAATGGAAGTTTGGATAAGGGCAATGTTTTGAAAACCAGACCGGACATCGCACCGGTCGTCATAGCGGTTCGATGGTTCAACTGGTCTAACTGGTTGAACCGGTCCCAAAAACCGGACGAACCGTTTGTGTGTGTGTGTGTGTATATATATATATATATATATATATATATATATATATATATATATATATATATATATATAAAAGTTGTAAATAAAAAGAATTGATTCCCACATCGAAAGTTAGGAAGAAAGTATTTGGTTGTTGGCATTAAAAAATTGAAGGGTTAAGGCTTAACAGTGTCTCAATGAATCCCACATCGCTAGCCTATTCAAATTTGGAATAGCAAATGGTTCTATAAATGCGTTTTCAGAGCCGGTGTACCAAATCAATCCCAATACGGTTTTTAAGTTTCAAACCAAAGTTGACGATATATTATGAGCTTTCATATTCTTTATGAAAATTCAAAATGATTTTTTGCCAAAGTTAAATTTTAGTTAAATGCACCGGTTTTAACTGGTTGAACCAGGCCGGTTCAACCCGGTTTACATTAAAACCGCTGGTTTTTTTATGGTTTAAGCTACAAACCGTTTTTGGGCTTTATAAAACCAGCCATAACACTGGATAAGGGTCAAACAATGGTCAATTCTATGCAAAATCCGATTTTCTGAAAATCTGATTTTCTGAGCTAGGGGCTCTGCCCCTTGGACCCCGCTCCCAGGGGCGCTGCCGTCGGACCCCCGTTCGTTTAGGGGCTTCGCCCCTAAATGACAGTGTACTTTGAAAACTTGATCAAACTTAAACAAGTGTGTACTCTATATCTTCCTTACTTGTTTAATATTTATCAAGATTTGTCAACAAAGTAATCACATTACACTTAAATAATATTGATGATAACAAATCACCAACAACATATCTAAAGTAAAAAAAGATTAACATCATAAGCTTTTATCTCATTCATCGTAATAAACTAGAGAAATGCAAATATAATTCGAAAAAACTTCTCTCCAACAATCCCTAAGTTTTCATCTATTTATTATAAACTTCGATGCCCATTTTCAGTCTCTTGAATTTCCATCACTTATATCCAATACATTGGAAACTAGGTCAGCCCCACTGTAGAATTCAACAAAGAAACAAGGGCAAGGGAAGAGTATACTTTATCATCTCAGTATTCTATTTGAAGCCATTTTCAGTGTGCTTTTGATATTACCTTGCATAGATTAACAACTTTGTGTATTAACTATCAACCAAGGTTTTTATAAACTGGGATGCTTTCAGGTACCTTTTTCTCAATTGCCTTGATATCAACCTGCAGAGCAAGTATTCAGTCATTAAGTAGTAATTTTTGAAGCCAAGTTACAAGATTTAGTTTTTTTTGTAGTAGTTTGCTTATAAACATTAGCTCAAGAGGCAAGTTCAACCAAACTAAAGGGTTGAGGGTTGATTGGATTTGGGGTTATATCATATCCAATGGGTCACATTAGGTAAAATTTTACAACTTGGCTAAAATGAAACAGATTGAACGAGTCAAAATCATCCAAAATGTATTTAAATAACTATAACATTCGGTGATAAAAAGTTTTACACTTATGTTATATACGAACCAACTCGTTTTCAGCTGCAATAAAAAAAGTATCATTTTTGACCTGTTACCCAACCAAACTATTTTGCCACTTTCGTTATTTGGGTTGGGTTGGCCCATTAACACTTTTTGGCCATTTTTTTGCAATTTATTAACGTATTAAATATGACTATAAAAGCTATACTACTAAAATAATAATATAACTTTCGACCCATATGACCTGTTTAATATGGACCCATTTTAGGTAGATGGGTATGAACTGCAACCTTTAAAATTCAGCTAATAAAAAGAAGACATACCATTTCTGTAGGTAGCAGTGAGAGTTAAGCAGATTCCATGATTGGCAATCCGATTAGAGTAAATTACACGAATGATCCCTATGGGTTGGGGTAATTTGCATGTTTGGTCTCTAACTTATTTTTTAACGTGAAAAGTCCTTACTATTTGATTTTGTTACGCACTTGATCCCTGCTGTTTGTTTTTGTTATGCACTTGGTCCCTGTCTTATCTAAAAAAACTATTTTTTAAATAAGAAAAAATAACATGGTAGGTAAGGTAAGGTGAGGGTATGGGGTTGGGGTGTGTTTCATAGTCACAGGAGTCGCTCATGTGGTCACGTACCACGTTTTGAACGTTTCGTACCCAAACGGGGTACAGTGTCGATCCGAACGCCATGCGAAACGGTCTCAGGTACGGCTCATTGACGATCCGAGCAATCAATTGGTACGATGCTGGGGACACGTTTCTGACGAATTGGATTGCAACAATTCGTTGATTGGGTCGGCAATTAGGTCGATTGGGTCGGCAATTAGGTGTATTTTGGTATTTTGAATTATGGAATCATGAAAAGTGTTGCTGGAATTGAGTTTATTAAAATACATTGCTGAAATTATGTTTCTAAATGAAATATATTGCTGGAATTGTATTTCTAAATGAAACATGTTGCTGTAATTGTACTTCTAAATGAAATATGTGTTCTAAAAACAGGTACACCGTATCGGGACCAATGGTATGCCGTACCGGACACGTACCGAAATGAACCTACCCCCCTCGTACCCGATACGCCCAACCTCATGAATCCCGTTCTCGTTCCTTGTTCCCGTACCGGACCGTACCACGAACTATGTGACTACAGTGTGTTTATTTAAATAAATTAAAAAATCAAGGGTAAAATAGTCTTTTTAGATAAAACAGGGACCAAACACGTAACAAACACAAACATTGTGAACTTTCCGAGTTAAAAAGTAAGTTAGGGACCAAACGTTCAAATTACCCTAAACCATAGGGACCATTCATGTAATTTACTCATCCGATTAATCATAAAACGGGACCCAATCCTTTATGAAAAGTCTAAACAGCCACACGAGATAATCCAACTGGTATCAAGTGATATCGTGATATGGATAATTCCTAACATGTCCTCAAATCAGGTCATGATCCTTGGTGTGAAATTAAATTAAACACTCTATTAACTATAAGCAAGGAGCTGCATCCAGAATACCCTTTCTCAAGCACTTGACTGCTCTATATAATCAACTCATTTTGTACATTCAGCAAATAAGAAAAAATACACAAGTATGGCTACGTTTGAAGTGCTTAAAGTAGAAAGGAACTCAAATACAGAAACATAATAAAACAAATTTAAACTGATATATAATACACAAAAAGAGTAATAAACCAAATCCCAGGTCTAGTTGCACACTCCAATACCAAAGGTATTATGGCTACACGTGCTTCAATGAGAAAAGGTTTATTAATTACAGAAAGCAAATTAAAGAAGTTATGCACAAACATATACAATCATCAAAACATGTGAATGCATATATCAAGTTAAATATCGAGTTTATTTAAGCATATCATTAAAACATGATCAGTTAACAATAACACATGTTACAAATTAAGCTCGTCAGCACATCCAAATAATATTACCGAAATACAACTGAAGAGACATTAATAAACAATCTCAAATAAAACAGCATCAATAAACCACTGACATTACAAAATAAGCAGTAAACAACATTAAAAACATAAAACATTCACCTAAGAATCATCAACGGCAAAAACATATTAGCAGGACCACTATTTTAGATCCCCTTTTTTGAACCGCTATAGCACTGCTATTAATAGATAATTACAAACAGAATAATTTTATGTGTTTACAATTGCATTTATTGTAATTGATGAGAAATTGGTATTCATCATAGCTGATTTAGGAATCAATCACAAATTATTATTTCATGGATTTACTTTTAACATTTTCCTAAAAATGATGCATCTATGTATAGTATGGAAAGATGAATATAAATGTTATGGTGACATGGCCATGTGCTATTATTAGTCTTTAGTTACGGGTTCACTTGATACCAATGCAAAATTAATTTTAGTTCATGTGGACACACATCCACTGGATCAATAAACTTTAAACACAAATCCACAAAAAATAACATAAATAAGCTAAGGCACTATGAAAATTAAATTATACATAATCATATTATACGATTTGGCTATATGGTACAATGATGATAAGCCAAGATAATGAAAAATGGATCAAAGGATCCTAAAAACGTAACAGAATATGAGTTTGTTATTTATGAATCCAACGACTCACATGATTTGAGTGGTTATTATATTAATTACAAATAAGTCACGATTTTATGTAATTAGTATTTGATATACTTTATAATAAAATATAAGATGTCTCTATTCAATTGTTTTCTTTTCTAAAACTAGTATGATTATTCACTATTTGGTTATTGTTGGTAGTTAAAATTCAATGCTTACTCATATATATTTTTAAATTAAATGTACTACTTGTTCGATTATTTACTTCTTGATTATTTATGGCTATTAACTTGTTTGTATATACCAGTGAAAAACTTGTTATTACTGATCTTGTTAAGATAGAATAACAATCGACCCAATCTTTTGGATCCAAAACACCTTTTATCTTCTTAACATTTTAGACGAGTAATAGATTATTCGGATAACTTTGTTTTCTCAATCCATTTTATCTAATCTAAAAAGCAATAAGATTATTGAAGGAATCAAAAAGTAAACTTTTTCGATAGGTGTTTTAGAATTCTATACACACACGTATATAGAGAGACACTCCCATATTGCCCATTTTTAGAACATGGCCTCCATATTTCAAGCTTACATATCTTTGCAACATAGCTTAGTTAACTCAAATTTATTAAGTCAATTTAGCTTGAAACATTCTATTTGTTGGGACTTCATCAAACAAACTTTCATAGACTAAGAACTAAAACATGAAATGGTATAAATTTTAATAGAAATTTCTATTATCATTTCTCAACCATTTTTGTAACGCAATTCATTTGAGAAACATTGAAGTATGAGGAAAGAGCGAGATGAAAACACACGAGCTAAGGAAAAGAAAAATAAGAACAAAAGCGAGTGCTCAAATAGTTAAGAATGACATAAAATATACTTTTAAATGAGAGCAAATTTGAAGTATTGGTGTTGATTAATAGAAAGGTTAATTTAGTCCTTTTTTACTCTAAGCCACTAAAATTTAATGTACATTCTAACCCCCTTTCTACTTCCTACTTTGGTTTCAATTTAGTCCTAATTATGGTTACAATGACCTTTTAACTTTAACATCTAACATGATGTCCCAACATGGAGTCCACGTGCATTATTATTTTATTCTTATTTAACTAGAGTTTATTTAATATATAAAAAATTAATATGTATGTTAAAGATATTTTTATACACTTTTGTTCTATGTCAACTTCATCTAATTGATACTCTACTCATCTTCAAGACCTTGCACCGTTGAAATCATAAATCAAATCTAAAACCTAAAACAAATCAATATTAATAGATCATGATCAAACCCAAATCTACAACTTCAAACCCTAACCATATAGTCGTTTGTTGTTCTCCAAACCAACAAATAAAAAACACCAAAATAAATATCCATGGGATATCAATATACAACCTCATGAGTTGTGATCCCATATCTATGAAAACCATTGTTTAACTATGAGAAATCTGTAACTCAAATCATACAAAATAAACCCAAACCATGATTAAAAAAATGTACCAAATTTACTAAAAACAAAAACATTTGTTGATCGATGCTTAGTAGAGATTTTGTCACCCGATGTTTATGTTAATACTAACAATTACTAAATCAAGAATACTTAACTATTTTAGTTTCCACTCTCATAAGTAAAATTAGTAATTAAAAAAGCTATTGTTAACTTTTTTACATGAATCTAGATTTGATATCATTCCATATGTGAGAACCCCTCAATATATAGAATATAATCTAGCATCCTTATAAGTTATATCCAAAAGTTGCCACCATATTTTGCAAGTCAAAAAGATTTTTACGAATTTCATGTGCACAGGGATACACAAATACAATCTCTAAAGCAGAATTTCGAAAGAAAGAAACATCATCAAAACCATAAACAGAATCCAATGTCACCTAAGGCTAGGTAATAGGTGATCTTTGCTCATATTATTCATTGAAGCGACTCGCCCAATAATTTAAATGCTTTTATCCTTTTCTAACTTTCTGCATATATTGGAAAGACTAACCTCCAAGAGCTTTGGCTCACTGCTTGAATGCAGATAATGAGAGACTCTCTCCTTCTCTTTTCTCAAACAATACTCAGCCTACATTCCATAATAAAAATCAAAGATCAAACAAAAGATAACATAAACATATAAAATGACAACAAATTATCAAATTTACCATCAACATATAGTCAAGACAAGAATCTTTCATAATCCATTTTGATGCTTTTTGATAATAATAAGCAGCAGTTGCAGCAAGCATATCATTTTCAAAGTCATTTACATAGTAGTTCATTTGACCCATCCCAATTTCAACATATATATCAACAACATTTTTTAGCAATGCTCTATCAATTATCTCTCCTTCTCGTTCTCGATTGATCTGGTTCACAAATCACAATCATCCTTAGTTTCAATTTTCTATAAAACATAAAATGACATTGATTCACATATCAAAATACTTACAAGATCAATGACAACATCTTTGGCTTTACCCTTTAACTCCTCATAAACCTGCATTAAAACACAAGCAATCCCATTGTAAATGAAGAAATCTAAAGCTAAGACAAATAATAACAAAATTAGCACAAACCATGTCACGAAATGAAGTTAGTGCAACTTCATTAATTGATGGAAGATTCCACTTATAGACGAAATAACGATCAAGATAATTGAAAAAACGATAAAGCCATTTAACCATGACTTTATGATTTTTCCAGCACTGCACAAGTTCCTGCAACATAAACTCACCATGTTTCTCTCTTAATGAAGGAAGTACCTAAATAATGACAGAAATACACCATTGTAAGTGGGAAGTGGACATATATAGCCAACTATAAACCAACAGTTTATTGATTCAGGGGTTGTTAATGGACTTTTTTTTCATTGAGGAACCATAAAGGTTAATTGTGGTCAAAATGTCATGGAAAACTAACAAAGATATTTGACTAGGATGTATGTAAAGGCTGATAAATCCCCTCATAGATCTAATAATAGGACTTCTCTACATAGATTACCAATATCCTAAGCTCTGATTTTTCAGAATCAAAGTTCATATTTGCTAATATGATATCTATTCTAAAACAACAATTGCATGCGACTTAACATCAACTAACTTATTCTCTAATATCCATATGTGTATGTAAGATGTATGTTTATGAATTATTTTCCTCTTTATTACATATGCTTGATTGTCCTTGATAGAAAGAAAAGGTAACTTGTGTTAAAAATAAAACAGAAAAGATAAAGGGATACCATTGAACTGATGTATTCTTGAACTATTTCCCTGTACTTGTCATACAGCCGACCAGAATGATTATCAGGGGGACTCTGGTTGCACATGTTAAAGATGATGTTGTACCCAAAAGTTAAGGGAAAATAACAAGTTCTAATCTTTGACTAGTAAAGCAAAAATATAGGATAAGGACTCTATTTCAAGAAGGAGATGGAGCCTTATAAGAAAATGAATGAAACATTGACTTCAAAGGGTATCCAGGATACGTGTACATCATCATGGACTCTTCAGAGTCAAATTGTGGTTCATGATTCCCTTCCATAATTATTCTCAGTTTCATTAACCTAATTTCCAGGAACTGCCATCCTTCATCAAAATCAATTGTCCTTAGAAATGTCATCATACAACTCCTGCTGCAGATTATAAGCTGCATAAAGTACAAAGATTCATTCAAAAACCAGTGAACATTTAAAACCAAAATTAAATATGCTTTCTTGAGTGTACAGAACCAATACTACATATACTTCTTGACAATCTAAATCCTAATGAATTCCAACCATTGTATCCACATATCCTATTGAGGATGTAACTGTAATCAAACTCAAGAAAGCAATATTTCAGAAGCAAATAAAAATCTCAAATAATATCTACATTGATTGCTAGACAAGGTTATTTGTTAGATGCTTCTTGAATGTCTAAACCAAAACTACAGATACTTCTTAAATGTCTAAAACCAAAATAAACCCAACAATTGTATGCCAAAAATCTCATTGAAGACCTCATTACAGATCTACTTGTGTTTAAAATTCAGAACAACTTTAATCAGTTCATTCAATTCAAACAACAAGATATCGTGGACTTCAACAACTTCTGGAGGTTAACAACCAATTTATTCCCAATCTATGCAACATGCAACCGTTACTACCTAAATTAAACCAAAATTAATCACAATTTATGCATCATTACGCCGATCTAGCTCAAACTAATTAAAATGCAGTTCATAAAAGTAAAATAATCCGATGTTAGTTCTTTTATGTCAAGCCTTGAGTTACTATATCACGTAGTCCCATTAAAATTTCTATAGATAAAGACATGGTAACCCACAAACATTCGTTTTCCAAATGATCGGAGCAAACTGAAAAAGATTAAAAATAAAATCGGATAACAATCAAAACCTGGAAAAAAATCGAACATTTTAAGTATGAACAAAGAAGAATTACTTATTGTCTCTACGGAGTAATCGAATACAGTTATCTGGAAAAGTACCCAAATTTTTACGAAATCGAAAGAGCCCTAAGACAATTCGCGATGTAATCGTCGATATGTATGTATCAGTGTATGTGTAAGGCTAATCCAACCCCAACTCTCATTTCCCCCTTTACTCCCATTCAACTCCAACCTGTACATTTATTGTTTTGGAGAAACGTCATTTATTTCTCAAACAATTTTTAAAAATATTATCGATTTTAGTCTCTTTTTTTCTTTTATTTATTTATTTACTTATTTTAGAAAAAACGTCATAAATGGTATCTCGAAAATTTGAAGTTTAGTTCATAAGTTTAAAAACTTCACAGATGATCATTATGGTTTCAAAACTTTTAATAACATGTCTTTATTTCTAACGCTGTTAAATATTGTCCGTTAACTAACGACATTTCCATCGTTTCACTACTATAAGGACCATTTATGAAATGTTTTATCGTTTAAAAAATAAGAAAAAATAAAATATAATCTTTTAAATATTCAAAGGGTCTCTCTCTCTCTCTCTCTCTCTCTCTCTCTCTCTTTCTCTCTCTCACTCTGTTTCTCTTTCTCCTGATGGTTTGAATGAGAGAGAGAGCCTAAAGGCTCTCTAAGCCTCAGGACTGACCTTATTGTGTATGAAATTAAGCCCTTGCTTAGCGCTCCCACTTCTAAGGGGCCCCATTTAAACCAAACCTTAACTAAGGTATTGTGAGTTGTCGATTAGGATTCTCTGATCTCCATTCGCACATATCAACTACAGAAACAAAACCATTTGGCAGAAATGAGAAACCATTGTTCATTGAATGTGACTCAACGATTGTTCTTTACTGCTTCTTTCTTTGTCCTCTAAATCTGATTAACTGATTTCATTCTTCAATCTTCATGATTGTGACATCCTCACATTTCACGGCCAGAAAAGACCGATCTATTTATGCATTATTCGAAAATCAGAGTATATTTAAAAAAAATATGTTGCGAAATTTGTTCCAAAAAATATGATAAAAAATTTATCAAAGCATTTCCGAGTAAAAGTATTTTCATTAAATTACAAATTTCGGGATATCATTGTCAATACAGATCAAAAGCATAAACAAAAACAACATAGGCCTCACAAATATTCCATTTATTTCTATTGGCCTATAATCTAAAATCTCTCATCAGATCTTCGCGTCTATACTCCTGTGTCACTACCTGTAATACAAGAAACTGAATGGGTCATGCTGGGGGAGTCTGGTGAGCACATATGGTTTTCAACCCCACAATAAATAAGTTTATTATGCTCATCAAATCATTCAACCCGATTACCCGTATTGAAACCCATTTTAACGTTCGGTGGATGTGGAAGAATAATATCTCAATATTTAACGGATATAAATTGAAGAACATGAAGACCATATGATGATAATTTCTTATATAAGAAAAGAAAAGAGAGATAAACATAAAAACGTGCCAAGAACATGGAAGAGAAGATTCTCCCTTGGTGGGGAGAGATCCCACCAATTTCTCTCTTTCTAGAAATTACATTTTTAGAAGTGCACACTAGGAAAATGATCACCTCTCCCTTTATATAGGAGGGAGAGAAAATACACCTAAAATACAATAAAAGGAAATAAATAACCTAAATATCACTCACTATTTGTAGAGCATTTCCATGCTCAAACAATCTCTCTCTAAATGCTTACAAATGATGAGAGATACAAAGCGTGATACAAGGCTTTAATACAGTAATCCGACTAGCAAGTGTGGTAATAAAATGAAACATAATGAGAACCAATGTTGAAATGTCTTTGAAACTATGAAGTGTTTGTGAAGTCTGAAACTGGCCATAAATCTCTAAACAATGACGGTCTTCGGCTTCAAGGCACCACCAATGAAGCAGAAAAGTAAGATCAAAATCTTCAAACTAGTCATAAGCGCCATGAGCAAGAAGAAGATCACCATGAGCAAGTCGAAGATTCATTAAGAGAAACACTTCAGCTTCAAAAAGTTTGAAAAAACATATCAAGTTCTCGAATCAGAATACACCAAAAATTTTCAAAGAATAACCTGTTAAAAATGTAGAGCATCCAAAAATGAAGTTTGGATAATAAATAATGTGAGTCCAAAGACATTGTCCAGCAATGCTAAAAATTTGATCAAAAGATCAAAAATAAGTGTCACGTCACATCGCCAAAATAATCTCCGTCTTCAAAATATCACAAATCCAAATTCGAAAAATCATAAGATCTGAACCGGATGCAAACATAAAGAATCATCCAATGATAGAGTCCGAATAATAAATAACTTGGACAGGGAAACATCTAGTAATGCCAAAAATTTGATCCGTGAAAACAAAAAATAAGTGTCACATCGCATCACTAAATAAGTCATCGTCTTTAGAAGTCTTCAAAATTTCAGACTCACGCAATCATAAAAACCATACCCTGATGATATCATAATCTCCTATCTCTATTTTTGATAACCAAAGACCTGATATCAAAAATAAATATATCATCTGGATGGAGAGTGTCGAATACCAAGATCTAAGAAGGTTTTTCCTAGATGTATGAAGGTTCTCGATAAGACACAGGAAATAGAGTAAAAGAGATATTTTGCGGTCATGAGAAGCTGGGTGATTCAGTTGTTGAAGACTGCTCGAACAAATACCATAGAAACGAGAATAATTCTTTGTGAAAAAATAATCTTTGCTGTGCCGAAAAGATACCAAAATACCCAAATTGCGGTGCCAGAACTCTCGAAGTGGTCTTCAAAAGAAAGTAAAGTCCACATGCTCAAGATGGATGATTCTTCAACCGAAGATCAAGAACGACAAGTCATAAAATCCCATAAAGTGAAGAATGTGAAACAACTTTGTTGATCAATCGTCGTTGCGGTGCAAGCACCACAAAGAATAATATGAAGTCCAACTGCGGTATGGAGTAATCTTCATGGAAAGAATAGGAGAATTCCAAAATAATCGGCATGAAATGAACCAACGTGACTATCCAATGTTAGGTTGTGGCAAAAATTGGTGTTAAAAAAATAATTGGTTTTAATTAAAAAAAAAAAAAAAGGCTAAAAAAATTGGTGTTAAAAAAATTGCTAAAAAAATTGGCTGAAAAAAATAAAATAAAAAATGAGTGTTAAATATAAATATGGGTGAATGTTAAAAAAAATGGGTGTAAAATAAAATAAATGGGCTAAAAATCAAAAAGAAAAAAAATTAGACTGGTTGGAAAAACGTTAAGGAATATGAAGTTGAGGGCTGAATGTGTAACTGTGGTGAAGAGGGAGCCTATCTATTTGGAGTGGGGACCGAAGAACAGATTTTAAAAGGTGTAGCTTCGGTATTGCTGGGGTTGGAACTGCGGTATGTACCGAAGTGTAGGGGCCAAAAATGAAACTTCGGTATATGAAAGGTTTGCGGTATTATAGTCTGAATGAAAGTGGGACCGTAGAGTGGTTTTTTTTTTTCTTTTCTTTTCTTTTAAGTTAACTGCGGTATCGGGTTTGAAAAAGAAAATTGAAAAAAAAAGATAATAATAATAAAAGGCAAAATTAAAAGGTAAAAGGTGATGATGGTTACGTGGCAGGTGGGTATGGGTTATGAGAAGTCACATAGGTAAATAGACAAGAGAAAATTTATGATATAACAAAAAAGGATAGGTTGTGGGAAGAAAATAATTAACGAAAAATGGATTTTCGAAAATAACAATGATCCGTGGAGGATGCTCTGCGGATCTATTAAACTCTCTGCGGATTTGCTACATTTCTGCGGAATCTTGTTTTTTTTTTTTTTTTTAAATTTTTTTAATTTTTTTACGTTAATTTTAGTTTATATATATATATATATATATATATATATATATATATATATATATATATATATATATATATTAAATACACTAATACATTATGTTATTATTATGTAAAAATTTTGACAAAAAAAGGTTTTTTTTTTTCTGTATTTTTTTGCGTTAATCTTAGTTTATTAATATATATATATTTTTTAAATACACTAATACAAACCAAATACATATAAATAACGTAATACAAACTTTCCAAGCTCCTCTGGTAGATCCAATCTATACGCAACCTTGCCAACCCTAGCAATAATCCGGAATGGTCCAATATATCGAAGACCCAACTTTCTCCTCTTCCTAAAATGGATCACACCTTTCCAAGGTGAGATCTCTAGTAACACCATATCACCGACCTAAAACTCCAAATCAGATCAGCGTCGGTCGACATAATTCTTCTGCCGACTCCGGGCGATCTACAATCACTGTCGGTTCTACTGAGTCATCTCTGTAGCTTGCATAACTACTTCGCTTCGACCCATGACTCTGTGACCAACCTCTCCCCAACAGAATGGGGTACAAAATCTCCACCTACATAACAGCTCAAAAGGCGGAGCAACAACACTAGAGTGAAAACTGTTGTTGTGGGAGAACTCAGCAAGAGGTAGGTGGGAGTCCCAACCTCCACAAAAATTGACAACGCGTGCACACAACATATATTCAAGAGTATGGATACTACGCTCCCTATGGCCGTCGGTCTGCAGATAATAAGTTGTGCTGAAATGCAGCCTCGTGCCCAGTTCCTTATGGAACTTCTGCCAGAAACGGGAGGTGAACCGAACATCACGGTCTAAAAAAATTGAGACCGGAACCCCATGGCGAGCAATGATCTCATGAATATTGATATTGCAATATTTATACCTATTTTTAGGCAATATTTAAGTACATTTTTATATATAAGTTGGTAATTTGTTTAGAATAATGGTAGTTATGAGTTTATTTGCAGCCAAAAAAAGAAGACATTATGAAGAAAATGGACTAAAAACATTAAAGGAAGAAACTTTGGGAGTTAAAAGATTAAAGGACAAGAAAATCAGGGAAAACGTTCTCACGTCGTGAGAACTGGATGATTCACGACGTGAGTTTAAGCTCTAGAAGATATGTACGCGGGTGAAGGAATCCTTACCGAACACGGTTATCTTGTATTCACGACGTGGATAAATTATTATTCACAATGTGGATTATTAAAATCGGGAAACTATATATATCCTCGACCATTACGAATTGAGAAGCGAATTGGCAGAAGAAAGAGATTCCAGAAGGCAAAATTCAGAAGAAAAAGAGATTTGGAAGTGGTTTTCAACACCAAAGAAGAGGAAGTTCATAATTTGCTTTATAAACTTGGTACATTTA